TCTAGCCAGAATGATAACTGCGTGCTTTTGGAGGTCCCCTGACCACTGGCTCCTTCCAGCCCCACTGCCTTCTAAGTGGGTCTCAGTGTCTTCCCGGATGCCACTCCCTCCCCTTTCCTTGTCCTTCACCTCTAAGACTCCCCCACTTTCCTTTGTCCTGGATTTCTGGGAAATTGTAACCAAAAGAGTGATTTGAGCTGAAAGATCCAAAAGATATTTGAACCTGTTGTGTCTAACCTGGTTCTGAAAGGAAAAACTAGAAAATCCCCTAGGTCCTTGATGCTATTGGCATATTTTGGTAATGAAAATAAAGAACTGCTGCTTCTTAACTGGGCCAGGAAAGCAGCAGCAGCAGAAAAGGGCGCTGTGCTCCCTCACCCCCACCCCCAGGCTTCCCTGCGGGCTGGGCTTAATCAGGCTGGTCCCCCAGACACCGAGGCACAGGCCACAAGAGCACCAGGACAGAAAGTGAGCCAGAGCCAGAGTTGCCAGCACACTTGTCAGCCAGGGGTCTATGACAGAACTGCGGCCCACTTCTAAGATGCCTGAAAACCCCTGAGTGCCAGCCGAACTGGGTGAGCCCTCAGGAGGCCTTTGCAGAGTCAGCCTTCCCAGCAAGCCCTTCTTTCTAGAGCCTCTCTGGCAGCTGTCCTGAGAGCTGAGTCTCTGTGAAGCAGCCCAGAAGAAGAAAGAACCCCAAAACAATCCTTATAACTTTTTAGCTTTATTCTTTACAAAGCATGTCTCCCTGTTCCATTGCAAAATCCATAGGATATTGTCTTTTTTCTTCTTCTTCTTTTGTGCTTGTACTGGGGCTTGAACTCTGGGCCTTGTGCTCTTAGTTGGCTTTTCCTCACAGCCTGAGGTCTACCTCTTGAGCCACACCTCCAATTCACCATTTTGCTGATTAATTGGAGATAGAATTTCTTAGACTTTTTTATTCGAGGGCGGGGGCATGGGGGGGGTTGGTTTGAACTCAGGGCCTGGGCACTGTCCCTGAGCTTCTTTTGCTCAAGGCTAGCACTCTACCACTTGCAGTTTCTCAGACTTTTCTGCCCTAGCTGGTTCTGAGGATCACAGATCCTCAGACTTCAGCCTCCTAAGTAGCTAGGATTATAGACCTGAGCCACTGGTGCCCAGCTAAGGTATTATTATATTTATTTCTGATTTCCAGAGCAGGAGATTGGGGCCAGAAAATTAAATATCTTGCTCCAAAGCACAAGTACTAAACATCAGAGTCACTTATCCTCAGCGTCCTTTCTGTGTCTTGGTACTAGAGGAACCCCTGTCCAATGAGGGTTTGTTTGCTTATTATGGTCATCTCTTGGTGGTGAACCAAAACTGTCACAAGGATCCTGTTAGCAGCTGCTGGTGGCTGGGAATGGGGAATCTGTCGGGATGGCCTTTGTCAGGGCTGTCCCCTGGGAATCCGCTTGCATCCTGCACATGTTCCCTCCTTGCTCCCTGAGGCTTCCCACAGCCCCGACTCAGCCTTCACATGCCTCATTAGTGCCCATCATGGAGTTTGCGCCTGTGATCTCAAAGTCAGCTGGGCCCACTGAGCTCCGGGAACCTGCAAGGCCTTTATTCATTCTTCCTCCTCCTTGCCCTTGCTGATCCCAGCAGATAGCAGCACTGCAAGCTCTGCTCCCCTGGTGCCAAACCGACAATCCCAGCACATCACACTATCTTGTCACCCCACTTTTCTACCAGCTTTTCCAAGGGGCAGTTTAAGCACCCTGCTATCCACACACCTGCTTCCTGTGCAGTAAGCTTCAGGCCCACGTTGTCGTCGTCATCATCATCATCCAGACACACATAGTCTGAAAGGAATAGAGAGCCCAGAAATAAACCCATACATTTCTCACCATCTGAATTTTGTTGGTCCTATGGAGTTTTAGCGCAGGGCCTTGTGCTTGTCAGGCAGATATTCTATTTCTTGGGCCACATTCTGTTTTTTTGCTTTAATTGTTGTTCTTCACATAAGATCTTACATTTTTATGGAGTGCCAGGCTCAGTCTATGATCTTCCTGTGTAGGTGGAGTTACAGACATGAACCAATATGCTTGACTTACCTGTTGAGATGGGGTCTTGCTAACTTTTTTGCCTAAGCTGGCCTTCAACTATGATCCTCCTGATTTCTGCTTCCCAAGTAACTGAGGTTACCAGTGTGAGCCACTGTGCCCAGTTCCCTTACCAGTTTTATTTACAGGTCTGTGTGGTGCCACTTGCAATAGATAGGGTGAATCGTTCCATTGTATGTCCAAGTGCTCCCCAGTTTTCCGTGTGTGTGTGTGTGTGTGTGTGTGTGTGTGTGTGTGTGTGTGTGTTGGAGATTGAGATTGGGCTCAGGATCTGGATGCTGTCCCTGTGTGCTTGAGGCTAGCACCCTACCACTTGAGCCACAGCTCCAAATCTGAATCTGGCTTTTCTCTGGTTAATTGGAGATAAGAATCTCATGAACTTTCCTGCCCAGGAAAGTTGATCTTCATCTCAGCCTCCTGCATAGCTAGG